ACGGACGATCTTTCAAGAAATTGTCCATACCTTGAGATACTAAGTTAACATTCTGAAAAAATAATCATTGTTTTGAGATACTAAGTCAATAGTATGATAAACTAAGTAACTGTGTCGCAGCCAAGAGCTGTCTCTTTTTGCCCAGGGTCTGGACATTTCTAAGTAACTCTAATATTGTCTATACTATTGCCCTAATAACTGTCTGTAATCTAAAGTCTTCAAAAAGAGTTAAAAGAATCAAAGAATATCAACAAAAAATGAAAAAGGATAAAAAAGGAATGAAAAAGACTTCAGCTGCTGAGTTTATGTGGAAGGAAGGAACAGGACTTCGCTTTATTTAGCATCAAATGGCAAGATGGTTCCCGGTCAACCACAATGCGAATATTGCCTCAAAACATCCCTTTTCATTCCCCCCCGGGGTGATAAGGTAATCTCCCCACCCCATTATACAATTCCATACCATTTTAGTCCCCATCATACCCAAACCTTACACCTTTTTTGGCAACCCTTAAAACCAAATGCATGTGATGTCTTTTTTAAAAACCCACTCTAGTCTAACTCTTACCAGACTGTTTCCTCATTACAGGGACCTCTTGTGGGCCATCTGTGGGACTCTCTATAGGGCCATCTTACAGAACCCTCCATATATGTACAAAAGTGAACCTCAGCTATAACTTAAACTGTCATCTGGTACAACGCCCTTCTGTGAACTCAGACGTTCACCCCCATTAGACAGTCCAATGCATACAGTCCATAGTCTGCTCCCCTATATTACCTTTTTAGGAGGGCTCCAAGCTCTCTAGTCAGCCAATGTTTTATTCAGTCTTTTCCATCAATTGTTTCCAGATACTAAGTCAATATTCTGAGAAAGTAATTCAGTCATTACTTTAAGATACCAAGTGAATATTCTGAAGAAATAATAATCGTTTCCAGATACTAAGTCAATATTGGAGAAACTAAGTCTTTATTTCAAGACTCTACATCAGTATTTTGAGAAAGTAGTTGTCATTAATTCGAGATCAATATTCTGAGAAAGTAATTAAATCATTATTTCGAGATACGAAGAAAATATTTCGAGAAAGTTTTATTCATCATTTCAAGAAAGTAAAACATTAACATATTGCTGACAGAAACAGAAAAGAATTCAAACAGTTTGATGTTTTTTCCTCTTCTTGGCGGAAAGGGGCTTCTGTGGTTTGTTCTACATGACTTCTACATGGCTGTTTAAGTGAAGCCCACCGCTGCTGGAATCTCCCCTCAGAGGTGAGATCTCTCTCATATTTTCAGTGTAAGATCTACTTGAAAAACAAAGTTTTTTTCAGAATACCCCCGCTCATCTTCTGTACCGACCCTGTACAGCAGTGTAGCTAATATTTGCGCATAGTAAACTGCTTTGGGCTGCGGCGCCTGACGGGAAGTCCTGCCCTCCTCGTGACCCACGAAAAGTCTCTCACAGTTTCACTTTCACATACAGAGCTGCAGAGTAGCGGACTGAGAGTCAGAGCACCGCACAGCTTTAACCGGCCCTGTTAACGGCTGCAGTCAGTCGTTGGCTCCAGTTTGAAGCTGTGTGGCGAGGCTAATTAAACAGTGCTGAAGTAACGCTATACTCTGTAAGCGAGGGGCTCAACACACTAACAGGGGCTGCTTTACTTGATGGGTCCCGGAAGGGAAGTGAGTCACAGCAGCCTGTCTTTGCCCGGTGTGGGAGGAGCCCCCACTTCTCGCAATGGCCTCCTGTTGTGTAAGCCTGTGTTTTATGCAACGGAGGAAACGAGTTCCATGGAAGTGCAGTGGCTTCATGGTCAACGAAGGAAGCAAATCTGACCAGCTTAGTTTCCAGAAACTGTCAAAGTCATCACACAGCAGCTGAACAGCACCGCCGCAGTAACATACTGCTATTAACAGAGCGTGTGTTTGCCTTACTTGTTGGATCATGGACTCATGCATGTGGACATTAAATAGGGCTGGGTCATTCCACAGAAACGTCCACTTTTCCACGTGTCACTGGTGTTACCCATCCTCATTGGTGTTACACATAAGAAAGGTAACACCAGAGACAGTAACACCAGTGACTTTTTTAATAATTTCAAACTAGCTGCTACAGAGCATCAAACCACATGTTGTCAATCATGGAATATCCACTAAAATATGGAATTTAATCCATTTGTATTCTATTTTTTCACAATTACGTAAGAATAAAGTAGGTCACACCAGTGACTTCAACTAAAAGCTTCATATGAAATCATGAGCTAAATGAGAAAATGTCTGATAACTGAAAAGACACAGTGGACTTACCATGTGCTTTTTTCATAGATCTTCAAATAAAAGGTAAAAGGAAGTCAAGTGATGTCATCAGTGTGATTTTTATTTCAAAATAAGAGATTTTTTTGTTACGCTGTAACACCAGTGACACGACTCCTAGGGATAACTTTTATTATATATGTTATAATATTTATTTGGCATTTGTTTTCTTTGTGTCATTTAATTTATACATTCCACAGTCATGTAGAGATTATTGTAGGTAAAATTGCAGAAAAATGTTTTTTTTTTTCTTCGAAATATAGCGCTCACCCTCTACACATGACTGTGGGGCCAAGCACTTTTGTGGTGCTTAGAATTCTAAATAATTGATTTAAAAAACAATATTGCTAAATTTGACGGCTCAAGAAGGTGTAACTGTTAAAACAACTTATTGTGTTATTTTAAAATATAAATAAATTGTAACCCTAATATGTTTTTTTTAAGTGTAATATATCTGTAAAAGCCAGGGACACAAAAATGGACATTTCTGTAGAATGACCCAGGTGCATTTCAAGATAAATAAATACATTTATATGTAGCCACTAAACAGGCTAATTTTTTGAATGGCCGATGAAACTGTATTATTCATAGTTTAACTGCATTAGTGGAAGACTGGCAAGGCAATGCATAATAACAAATAAATAAAAACAAATAAAATGGCACTGTCAGTGTTCTTAGAGCATTTTTTAGACATGCTTAACACAGGATCTGCAGGTTTGAGAACTGTGTCAGAAATGCCTTTAATATGTTGTTAAGCTGCAGTATGCATGATTTTTTTTGTTGAAACTGTAAGAAGTAGCATTACTGAGTCAGGAAGGAAAAAAAGACTACAATATGGTGTGTGTGCATGTGTGTGTGTGATGCTGTGAGTCACCATTTAAAGCCACAAATCAGTGTCAGGTTGGAATTTGGTGGGAGTTTTCAGACCACGTCATATATCTATGTTTTATCGTCACACAAACAGGCTCAAAAAGAAGGTCCAGCTCAATGTTTCGGTCTCAAATGCAAAATAAACATAGCATTACACAACATACATAACATTATACTGATGAAGATGTGATAACAATCTTGGAAGACACGTCCTTCGCAAAGTTTTGACTAAGATTCATCTGCTTGTGGGGGTCCAAAGCATAGTCGACTTATAAAATGTTCTTCCGCTCATTGTGTGCAATTATGCATTTTCTACCAGAGAGGACTCCAAATCCCCAAATCATACATAGTGCAGCTTTGCGTGGGCTTACCTGGACTGAAGGCCAGGGTTTTTTGTTAGTTTATTTGTTTTTTAATGAGATTTATTTATTTCTCCTCCACCCATCCACACACACCAATGATCATCGTTACACACGTCATTCATATCGGTGACTGTTGATTGGCTGGATTTATTCAAAACTTCAGGTCAATGCTGATTGGCGGCTGTATCGGATGCATTCAACTTCAAAGTTAGGACCAGGTACTTCTGACAAAATGAATGAAAGCTGAGCACAAACAAAAAGCTCAGAAAGTAAAAGAAGTACCTTATAAGAGCAGACTTGAATTTAAATTCCAGAGTAATGGGACTTTTTTCAGTGCACTGTCTGTGGCATCAGCATCAGCTTTAACCCACTCACTAGCTCCCATAGCCAGGATGCCATGTTAGCATTAGACTGACTGCTGTGTTCATCTTCTTCAGCAATAATGTGGACTGAGAGTGACACTAAGAAATGGGACATTATTAAACACATTTCACAGACCTCTATTGTTTTAGTGATTTTAATGGTTTTACTGAGTTAACTCTACCGCACACGAGTGGAGAAGCATGGCAGACTGGACAGAGCACTTAAGTTCAAGTTCATCTCAAGTTCAGACTAAGTTTCTTATTATAGAACTATGCTATTTATAACTTACAGTACTTGTATGGTTTTAATGGAATACAACATTTTTGGATAGAAATTTATCCCGTTTGGTATTAGCTAACTAAACCAACACACGGTTTTTGAGTTTTAAGGTAGAGTATGAGGATGAAACTGGCTTCCTATTTGCCAGCTACTGCCACACCATTTAAGGTGGAATGGAATATTCGAATAAGAAGCTGACTTCAGCTTCATTGATCTTGGTGTAATTTTTAAACCTTGACCATCTGTGGCCTTTAGTGGTCTGATTCTGGGTTAAAGTTATTGCAGTAATGGAGAGATGATGAATGGCAGTGCTGGAAGTCGCTGATGGTGGCAGCGGAGCGAGCATCTTCATTAAAAACAGGTTTTGGGTTTTTATCGGGTTTTATGTGCAGTAATGTTTTTGCTTTAGTACTCTACTAGTGTGCAGTCATGTTAGGCATTGGTTCTGCTGATTGTTAGCCAAGTGACTGCCTCTTTCCATGTTTACTACATCTGGCGTAATTTGTCCACATCAGTCAGGCGGGAACTCAGTTGTCATGTTGAGTTATACTGATATTATGGATTTTAACAAGACCGTTTGGGCCTATGACCACCCTCAGCCCCAGGGCCCATGAGCAGGTTAAAGCACTCTGACTGTTGGGGCTTATTTTGTTACTGGAAATGTAATCAAACCGAGTTGTGAACTCTTAATTAAACATTTGATCAAACCTGAAAATGTGCATCAATACACCCCTATTTACTACAGTCTAGAAAAAAAACAAAAAGGTTTGCATAATATATACAGTCTAATTGCAACAAAAAGTTCATTCACTTCATAAACACTCCATCCATAAACTTAGGCTTTATTGTTTCTCAAAGTTGAAGACAGAACAAAATAATCTATCCATACACACTGGACATGCTGTACAAAAATATCAAATATCAAACCTGTCCATAATGTACATTTTCTGTTCGACAACATTCCGGTGTTAAAATCTATAAAATGCAAATAAAGTACCTATTCCAAATGTGATGGTGAAAACTGTCATATAAAAGTTTGTACAAATAATTATAGAAATCTTAACTGTACAATAAATAAAGCAATATCTCTGTTTCCTCATAAAGATTTGCTGTGAATATGTGAATACCCACACACTACAATCTTCAATCACCAAGAACTTCACATTCAGTTAAAAATACCCTAAAATAACTCAAAAACACAGAGCACACATTCAAACACACATACACACACAGACACACAGACACACACAGACACACAGACACACACACTCAGTCTAACTCAGCCCGCACACAAAGTGCACATTTCAGCTGTGGTATAATTACCTAAACCCTGTGACAGGCATGCAAATGACATGTTTGACTATCAAAGGCTTTTTTAAAATTCCTTTTCCTATCACTTTCTTCTCTTCCACGTTAGATACAATCAACAACGAATGTGTTTGTTTCAGAGTCTTCATTCTGTGTGATAAAGTGAACTGAATGTCTAGAAATCAAAATAACTTGTTTGTAGAAGGCCCAGCCTGGCAGTGGATTCCTGAACTACAGTAATATGAGGAGTCACTGTTTACTGAACTGACTGCTGTACTCCAGCGACCCAATGAAGAGAAAGAGAGCAGAATCAGAATATTTCACTGAATATTTGAGGTGATGACGAGCTACTCATTTAAGCCGCATTTTATGCTGAGCTCAGCAGTCTACAGGATTTCTATATGAGATCTGCTAAGGCACAGTAGAGATATCAGCTTTGAGTGATTAAGTAAGGCATAAAGGAAAAGTCAGCAGCACCTAGAGTTCACACATCCCACTGACGTTTAACAGTCAGACATGCAGAGCTGAGAGCTTTAAGAGAAAATCCTCAGTATCGAGAGAAAGGAAATATGCCAGCCAGTCAGACAAAACAGTGGAGAACAGTTCCATTCTGACTAAATACTACCACAGGAGAGGGAAGACAGCAGTGACAGTAAGAATACAGTCAGCTGTACAACTGAAGTAACTCCTACTACAAACAGACACAGTGCCAACCATAATGAACAAAGCATTATAAGACTTAATTAAAGCCCCCTGGAGTCCATCATTGTGGACTTTTAATGAAGACAGTGTTTTATAATAATAATAATAATAGTAATAATGTCATTTGTAATAATGTCAATTATTATTATTAAGAATAATAACAGTAATAAATATGTTAAACTCTAATAACAATCAGTATTTGTATTGTTCTTTTGTTGTTTTTTGTTAATACACTACCAACACCACCAATAATAATAATAATAACAACAACAATAATAATAATCAACACCACCACAGGACTGTCATTTATTATCAATACAAAATGACAACACTAATAAATATGAATATAAATAATAAATGTTTAACATTATTATTTTTATTATTATTGTTATTGTTATTATTATTTGAACTGAAAAACATGATAAGATGTGAGAAACTTATTAATGAATATAATAATAATACAAAAAAAACAAATTAAGAGGTAATCAGCTAGCACAATGATGGATCATTAGGTTAAAGGAATAGTCCAGTCAGAAATGCTAACAGTGAATAAAAGTGAAAAGCCACTAATTAGTACTGTGCAAATGACATGATGCTAATTGGCTTTAATTCACTGTTTGCTACATTAGCATGTTTGGTTGTGCTACTCCGTTAAGGCAGCAGTGCAGAGTAAAGATTGTCACATAAGACACAAACTCAGAGCCAACAGCTTTCACAAAAGAAAACAGTCCATAAAGCAAATCACTTGATCTCTAAAATACAAAAACCTTGTGCAAACAGAAGATCCATTAGCTCTTTTCATGGACCAGCCATGCTTCAGTGTGCTGTAGCTGTGCACACTCGTCTAACTGTCGTATTTGTAAATGTAGGGGCAGCGAGAGCGCAGGCCTTGACTACAGTCCTCCCTCAGACAGTGATGACGCCACGAGCTTCATACAGAGGGGGTTATTTCACACACAACAAACAGGGTTGATTGGGACATGGAGAGGAGACATCAGACAGGTGGACATAGCGAGAAAAAGGAGACGGATGCAGAGAAACAGATGGAGATGCAGTAGAGTGGTAGAGGTGGTGTGGTCCATAGAGTTACAAGGAGAGGTCAGCAGAAGCAGGTTCAAATGATTTAGTTCAGCCACGGCACAGAGGGAAACCAAAGGGAAGGAAAGAATAGAGAGACATTTAGTTCATTAGTGAAAAAGATTTGTTTGGAAAGCTTTCAGGTGTTGATTTCTATCAGTCTTGATGAGGCTGTGCTATTTTAATATTCACTGGTTACACACTTGTGTGCAAGTCCCTTCATTTCCAGTTAAAACAGCCATTAAGTAAAAGTTCCTGCAAAAAAAATAAAAGATGTAAAAAAGAGGAAGCATGGACACAGTAAATGCTGAAAATGTGAAAATATGTTTACTCAAAAATGAATAACTTAATGGAAATTTTGACTGGAAATAAAATAAATGAAGGGTTTTCTCTGACTTTTGTACAGTGCTGGTCATCCCTCCTACTGACATTTGGAACATCTACTCAAGCTGTAAGAAACATACTGGACAGTGATTTTAGGTCTGTTGCCGGTCAACTGGCTCAATGTACTGTACCAAAATCAACGGACGCATGAAGCTCAAACAAACTCAAACAAATACTAAGAATAGTTCTCTGCAACACACACTACAGGCCAAAAGTGTTGAAGCAATGCTAACTTGGTAAATGAAAATATTTTTGCAAAAATTAAAAGATAATATGTTAACACAAAGGTGGTTTGACCAAACATCTGCAGCAACAGTTTAGAACTGACTCTTAAATTCTTTTGGTAATTAGCAGAGGGTTTTTTTTGCATCTTTAATCCTAATCTTAATCCCAATCCTAATCTCATATCCACGTAATTCTAAAATTCAGATGATCTTGAAGGCAGGATGAACTAATTAGGTGTGCTATATTAGTAGTTCATAAATACTTAAAAGCTGGTCAATGTCAGGGTTTGTTATCAACAAAGACTGTGAAGGCTTTTTGACTTTTTCCATATGACACCATTTAATATTAGACTAAAAGTACATCACTGAAAACCAGTGGACAAACGTCTTGGGCCAAACTAGATGTCACTGAACATTTCGGGCTGGTTTTCCAGACATGGATTAAACCAAATCTCAAGCTAAACTGCATGGCCAATTAAGACTGAATGATCTGACAATGAAATTCTTTCTAGTCTAGGTTTATACCTAATCCGGGTCTGGATAACTGGCCTTTTACATTTTGTTGTAGTGATCGTGGTGAATTGATTTGACTGTAATTTTTGAACCTACTTGCTTCCGTACTTTAGGCCTGTAATGTACAGTCGTATGCAAAAAAAGACCCCTGATGTTGTTGATTTCTAATAGAAAATAAGTTAACACACCCTCTGCAGGGAACATTCAGGTTAATTTGCTAAAGAGATTGGGAAAAAAACATTGAAGAACTTTTGCATAGGCCACATTTTATGTTTTAATTTTTTTCCACTATTTTAAAATGTACAGAAATGTGTTCGCTGCAGAGGATGTGTACTTTAATTCACTTAGAAAATCAGCAAAACACAAATGTTTGAGTATAATTGTGTAAGCAGAAGAAAAATGGCTCCAAATATATCTCTGTTGCAGACTTTCTCCAAACTTGTATCACATTACAAACATAGAACATCTTCTTACATTACAACAATCATTCACATTAAAACGTTCAGTAGAAAAAAATATGCAAACATGCATCTGTTAAACCTCATTCTGAAGATGATTTTCAAACCATGACTTCTTGCACTTGCAGAGGTCTCTTCAAAACATAAGTCATCCATTGTGTTAAACTCATTATGAGCATACGTGGAGAAATCCCATAGTATCAGATAAACTGTACACACTTGGAAAGGCTCAGGAAACACAAGCCACATTTTAGTAGTATGCCCCAAAACCACATTTGCTTTAGTTCTCATGCTCTGAAGGGCTACAAGGTCAGCTTGATTGGCTGAGAGACTGCAAGGCCACACCATGCAGGATGCCAGGCCTATGATACGTACTCTGCAGACTTCCAGAAGTGTCCAGGATGGGACAGTCTGCGGTTGAGCTTGGGAAGCTTCTCCAGCTGGTCAGCGAGCTGAGAGAACGTAGGCCTTTCCTCCAGGTCAAAGGACCAGCACGCTGACAAGATATCCTTAAGGGCAGACACAACAGACACAGTTACAGACTAACCTTTCTTTAAAATTATATATAAAAATATATATAAATAAGCAGCCTACAGTCTGTTATGACTGAAAATGTAAACTTTGCTTCTAGCACCTACTGTTTATAAAACACTTGTGAATTGTGAGAGATGGAGGGGTTAGTTAACAGTTGTTAAAAAGGCTGGTAAAATGATGCAAGAACAATTTATTCAGGACACTTCTATGTTGTTTGAACCAGACAAACATTCCAGCCTAAATACATAAGAATGCATCATTGCTATCTCCAAAATGGTGACTTTTATGGGAGGGAAAAACTTTCTTAACTTTTAATGGAAGCTAATGCAGAAATTATTCATTTCATTCTGGACCATTTCTAGCAGTCCATTCATCTTGAAATTTGAATTGATATGGGGAGGTAGGTACACCTCTCGTTGGCTAATTTTCTATCCACGTTCTGTTCAAACTGAAAGTGATAAAATAAAAATGCAAAAAAATTGCATTTTTGGCAGGCCAGCAGCTTGTTACCACCAAACTGACTTCAGCGATAAAAATGCTGATGTGTTACCGTCTCTACTTCCTGCATGTCACAACCTGTGTTCCTTTGGTTTATCTGATTTTCCCATAACTAAATGATAAGGAAATTGTTTATTTCTTTAATGATTTTTTTCCCCCCATCTGAACCCTTATGTGAGATTCTCGTTTCTCTGCCATTTAGAGCTGCTTGAGCACTTTCTATATAGAAAGACTGCAGCCTTTTCAGTATCTCTCTCTCTGTAAGAGACACACTCCCATCCCCTCCTCCATCCTTCTGACTGCTGAAATTAGCAGATGTTTCTGCTATGCGAATACAAAAAACGCACTGTGCTCACATTTTTAACTTTCGAAGGCATGCAATTTTTACTTTATTACACTATCAAAGCACTTCACAGCCTCTCAGTTCTCTATTCTATACTATATTCTGTGCATTGCTATGAGTTTCTACTGAACAGAGATGCTGTGATGCAAAATATCCCACATGAAAAACAAGTAAACTTTACTGTTTGGACCTTTCACATCTTGTTCTAAGCATAAGACGTACTCTTTACTCTCCCTCTATTTTTCAGTAAAAAATATTCTAAAATATTAGACTGCTTTCAGATTGAATTATTACATTTTCCTTGCCCCCCACCACACACTGCCTTGTTGTGGATGCTGGCTTGAGCTTTAATACATCATGTATCTATATACTATATAATGTATAGGACACAAAGTCCTTGACTAGTGAACACACTCATACTAATGTCATACCTTACATGCACGGTATGCAAAGTCAAGACATAATCTGTCCCATGGCTGTCTTTATAATCATTCAAGCAATTATGTTACATACTTCTAACTGGCTGACCTTTTGCAGTAACACAGCAACACCTTACAAACATCACAATAAAGAAAAATTCAGTATTTTTTTAGAACTGTCAAAACAGTTTGAACAAAATGTGAAAAAAAAGTGGCTGTCATGGACTCACTGTGACTTCCTTTCCTAGACTGATCTGGGACAGCTGCCGCTTGATGCCTTTTCCGCTTCCTAGCTGCCAGATAGCAGCCTCGGCTGGCTGGTTGGTAAGGGGCCAGTCCCGTGCCTGCAGCTCGTACCAGATAGTGCTGAGACAAGATAAGCACACAAAACAGATATTAATTTTTCTGCTGGATTTGCAAAACTTCCTTTTTTAAATTGTGTGTTTAAAGGTAATAAAGCCTTTAGAATTATTCATTTTCACAGCCATTTCCACATATTTTTTTTTAATTACAGTCTTGCATCTCAGTTCTTGCAAAAACAGATGAAAAATTGTTGGTGCTTTAGGGGGATACAGCTGTATGAGGCAGGAAGGGGAAATGTCTGGGTGTGGTCTTTACCCAAAGGCATAAACGTCAGCAGCCTTAGAGAAAGGCAGCCGATCCTCATCGTTGCCAGGACACATCCTCTGCACAATCTCAGGAGCCAGGTAATAGATCCAGCCACGTGGCAGCTTCAGCTCATTTTCTCGCCTGTACATTTACACAGAAACGCAATTTCTCATTGTCCTTCACATGAGAGGGTGCTACAGCTAAAATGACAGTGATCATCAGAATGATTACTGAACACATCAGCTTACTTACCGATCCTCTTGCACCACTCCAGACATGCCAAATAGGCCAAAATCTGTGATCACCACTTTGTTTGCGTCATAAAACACATTCTTGGATTTCAAGTCTTTGTGCACAATTTCCTTTGCGTGGAGATACCCCATTCCCTATCAGACACAAAAGCAAGAACATTCAAGCTAGATGAAGAAGACAAAACGGATGCAGACAAGAAGAGACAAGCAAAAGATTTATACCTTTACAATTTCCTGAGCGATTTGCCTCGTTTTATTGATGTCAAGTGAGGTTTTAGAATCTCTCACAACAGAGTACAGCGTTCGGCCCTTGCAGAAACTGCAACAAAAACAAATGATGTAAATAAATGACTTATTGCAAAGACAAATTGCATGGCCTCAGTTCAGTAAACCCACGTTAAATACCCCTTCGAATAAACGCTTAGTCTTTACAGGTTCAAAAAAATTGTTTTCAATTGGCTTTTTGTTCCACAGTTCTGTACATTAACATGTATGCAAATGTTTTTCAGTGTTTAATTATTCTGTTTTGAACTGGGGCTACAAAGCTAATGTAGCTAACACGAAACAGTCATTCAGTGACTTCTTCAGTAGCATGTGTGGTTTCTAACAATGTGTACTAGGTGGCCAAAACTGTTTTGCTGTCAGAGTCACAATTTTGGGTCTTTTCTTGAGCTCTCACACTGCAAAGTAATATCAAGAGTACGTAAGCTGTGCCCACTGGAAGTGGAGTGGCCCATTTCAACCCAGAGAGAGGAATGGTTTTAGAAAGCTGGAGTGACTGGGTTCTCTCTCGCTCCTAGATCGCTCTCAAAGAAGTCAATCCCATAAGCACAAAACATGCTGAATTCCTCAGCTCGGCTACTGACCCGCTCAAATTCCTGTTAGGTTTATCTCCTCACCATCTGCCTTCAACAGTGTTGGGGTGGCTGCTCAAAAAAGTAATCAGTCACAAGTGACTAATTACTTCTCCTAAACTGCAATGGGATTAAATTACTTACTGCTTCCTGGAAAAAAGCAATCCTACTGCTCATTACTTTACATCTAAGTTACTCTCTAAAGCCCACATGAATTTTTTGGAAAGTACAAGGGAAAATCTGTTTCAGTACTTTGTTTAGAAAGATATAACCAGTCAGAGTAAACATCATTTAAAAGGCATGTAACTATCCCATCTTCTGCTCTGAATGCATACATTTTTGCACTAAGCCAGTTTGCAACACATCTGTACTAGATATTCAGCATTCTTAATGGCTTAGTTCAGGTTTGTTTGGAGCTAGGTTATAGCAAAAGTGGGAATCGACTTGAGGTCCCTGACTGGTTTGAGAACCACTGGTCTATATGCCAGTTACTTTGAGCTGTGGTATAAGAAGTGTAACAGTGCATGCAAAATTAATATTCTCACTCCAGCAAAGTGCATGCTGATTTAGGCATGAAGTTAGGAAACTTGAAATATAACCTTCCAGTATGTTAGCTCCAACTGACTACATAAGGGTCAAGTCATGTAAGTAAAATTTTTGGCCAAACTGTTCAATCCCTGGCCTGATGTCATTAAAACACTGAACATCACAGCAGTTTCCCCATAGTTTTCCCTCCAGGCTCCAATCCAGACCCCCCTTCTTCACTACAAGGCCTTAGGCTCACCTCGTAATGATAGCCAGCTGGGGTGGGTTCATGCAGGCTCCCATAAACAGCACCACGTTCTCATGCCGAGTCTGTCTGTAGTTCATCACTTCCTTCTTGAAGAGCTTCAGGTGATCCTGATTATTTCCGTCTATCTCCAGCACCCGCACGGCCACCTCGCCGTGCCAGCGGCCCCGGTGCACCTTCCCCCAGCGGCCTTTTCCGATCAGCTCCCCAAGCTCCAGCTGCCAGAAAGGCACGTCCCATTCCTGCAGGTACACACTGGTCTGGCTATGCTTGCGGGAGATGGGCCCCTTCCAGGGACTCCTGGAGTTGGGCAGGTCGTCTAGATCATCGTCTTCACCTTCACCTTCATCGTCATAAGCAGCATCTTCTTGCCTCTCATGCTCCTCCTGATCATCATCGTTCACGTCCTCATTCTTAATGAAAAAATAAAAAATTAAACAATTAAGTTTATTTGACCCCTTACAGGCTTATTATTCAGTTATTAATCTTAAGCCTTGTTGTCTCTTACTACTCTAAATTATTCAGTAACTACTATCAAACATCTATGTAAGTTCCAAGAGCGAGGGACAGAAGTGTGGACCTGCCCATAGGTCTTTAATGTTTAGTGGGTTAAACTGAGACACGCTGTTATATTAAAAAAATGCAAGATAAACTTGAGACATTTCCAGTACCCCTGCCCTATTTTGGTGTTTTCCAAGGACTAAGAGTTTATTTACACTTACACTTAATCAATTTCTGAATCAACATTCAGATAATGTCCAGACAGAATTTATTCACATTGCATTTACACCTGGCCACATGGATGCATCTTCGTTACAGACTGAAATATAATCTGCGCCAGTGCTGCTTTTTTACACAATAAGCACATTTCTCCTGGAATCTCTTCAGATAATGCCATTCCAGAAATTGTACACTTTGCAATTTGTATTGATGTTTAAGATGTAAAATGTGACCCAAGCTGTTGTTTAGAACTCTTGTAGCTCCATATAGGCCTGAATGAAGACTGCATATTGTCCCTGTTGAAACCAAACTTTGTATCTCCAAAATGTTAAGTTTTTAAGAGAAGGAAAAAGCATTGTTAATTTTCAATAGAAGTTAATTTAACAAGATTTTAAGTAATTTTCCACCATGTCTATTGGCACATTCATCATGGATAAGTTACGCAATGTAAAGGGCGGCTGACATTTTAAAATATGTAAAAAAAAAAAATTAATAAAAACAACAAAAATAGAGATACAAGGTTTTGTTTCGGTAGCAACAAAATGTAGCCTGTAGAAACAGATACACTAGCCTCACCTCCAGATTCAGAAGCATCTTGATTGCATTAACACAGCTTTTTTCATGATCAGATGGATACCTGATCGTTCCAAGACGCGAGAAGTGGCTGAATGTAAAAAGGCCCTAACACATCCTACCCAACTAATCAGCTAATTGACAAGCACTTCTTAAGCTGAAGTGAGTGTGTGAGAGCAGGGTAACACTACATTGAGTAGGACAGGGCTTTGCCAAAGATAAACAGAATCTGTGCTGCCACACTTACCACAGTTTCTTCCTGCCTCACAGACTGCAATGTCAGCTCACTTGCCGCTTGCTCTGTCTCACTGGAAAAAAGACATAGGACGCTCTTACATACTGAGAAACAGCCCCAGTACTCAAAATATATGAAACCATATATTTACCCTCTTTAATATCAGATCTGTTACAACAATGCACATTTCTACATCAATGTATCTATTAAAATTCATTAGGTTTAGTGCAATGTGTGTTATAGAGTATGAGTTTCAGTTTCTATGAACAACCTTTATGCAAAGCTGTATAAGTTTGCAAACTAGGTACGTATTATATTGTCTTAGGCACCTAAGCACAATTTAAAACCATTTATCCTGGCAGTAATTGTGCTTGTCCCTGTAGAAACACGATAGAGTGGTGCTCATTAGAATAGATACAAATAAACATAAATATGGTAAAAAGTCACAAGAATTTCTTGTTTTCAGAAAAGTAGTGGATATCTTGTTGGCTACTTTAAAGAATGAAGTTCAGTTCTATATTTCTCCTTGATGCCTCAGCCATCTCACAGATCTGTGACATTCCATCAGCAGCACACCTACACCAACATAATGATGGACTGATTAGCCAAACCAGGTTTTGGATAATAACTAAAAATAATTCTGGGCTGCTATGAGGAGAGGTTTGGAAATGATTAACCAAACACATAGAAACAGATAAAATCACAACTAACTGTATTAATATTATTTGTACTTATAGTAATGTTGGTGTTTTTCTTAGCAAATAAACACTTCCTAATTTGTGACTAAAAATTCTGCACACTGCTGTCCCCTGGTTGAGAGCATGTATATTGCTTAAGAGACAATGAAATATGTGGTGTAAAGAAGTCAATGTACAGGAATTGTTTGCAAGCCTGTTAAAATGGCAGCTAAAGACGTGTCTTACCCTCTGTCCTGACTGCCATCTGGATGTGATACGTCTGTAAGAAAAGTCACAAATGTTTAGATCTCACAAGAAAAAATGTCTACAAACTTACAGTGGATTTACACAGGTGAGCCAAAACACTATGATCACACACAGATAACAAATAGTACTGATTATCTCATAACAACAGCTTTGTGAAGGTCTGGGATATATTAGATGGTAAAATGAGCAGGTATGGATAGGTAACTCCTATCCACCATCAAAAACACCTACAATAGGCATGTCAGAGTCGGAACTGGACCTTGTAACAATGGAAGAAGACCGCCCGATCCGATTAGTCTCATTTTCTTTTATATCACATGGACAGCCGAGTATGCATGCACCATTTACCTGGTGATGCACTGTGGGAAGAAGACGAGCCAGTGGAGGGACTGAACTAAAATTAATACTGGATCACAAAGTGAGGATTGGAAATGGTTAAACAATGGGCAATGTTCGGCTGGGAAACACTGGGTCTGGGCATTCATCTGGACGTCAATTTGACAAGTGTCACCTACCTAAACGTTGTGGACTAGACCCCTTTATGGCTATGGTATTCACCGATATGCACCTGCCACACTGCACACATTCTTCAGGAATGGTTTGAGGAACATGAAGAGTTCAAGGTGTTGCCCAGGCCTCCAAATTCCCTAGATCTCAATCTGATCAAGCAACTGTGGGATGATCTGTGGGATGTGAAATCAAGTCTGATCTGTGGCGACTAAACTCTTGATGCCAGATACCACAGGGCACTTTCAGAGGTTTTGTAGATTCCACAACTTCGCAGTTTGGAGCTATTTTGGCAGCATGCGGAGGACTAACAGCATATTTGGCAGGTGGTCACAAAGAGTGTATGATACATGCACACCAATTATGGGATTTTGGCAGTTATCTGAATATTCAGGTGGTCATGTAAACAGCATACTCTTACATTTCTTAGATCGGATTAAGACTGTTATCACATTTCTAGCAATCCAATTAAGAGACCTGGACTTTAGCCCAGTAATAAGGTTTTCACTGCATGTATACCCTTACTCTGATTTTACTACATGCTTGACACAATGAAGAATCTGAATATTCTTCATCTTCTAGATGATGTATATTCATATTTTCTGGTAAAGGTGTACCATGATATTTGAGTTTTACATTACTTTTTCATAACGTCTAATTCTATGACTGGCAAAATTGGCAGGGTGCAAAGCAGAAATCCGATTATACCTGGCTTGTGTAGACCCAGAGCTTTCCCATTATTTGATTACCCAAATCTGATTTTCTGAGGTTTTCAGATTATTAAGTGCATGTAAACACACTTAATGTTTTGGCTCACAGGTGTACTCATTTGCAAGAAGAAAAATTTTCAAAATAAAAAATACAATAGAAGTATAATTATAATGTATGGGGTAACTTCCTTTATAAATCCAAAACAATTTTAGCAATCTGAATAATCCTACATGCATTGACTAGGTAAGAACATCCTGAGGGCAAAAATAATGAATTTCTTCCCTGCATGCAAGAGACTGTCACTTGTTCCATTTTTGCAGAGAGGTGACTGAATAAAGCCTCCAATTGTTAGGCCTAAATGGAGGCTAAATAGATTGTAAGATATAATCACTGGCCAGTAAGGGACTTTAGTAAAAGGAACTAGTTCAGGAATCCTGCTTAATCAATAGTCAAGACAACTTGCTTTAACCAATATGTTCACTAAACACAATTCAGCTCATAAAAGATGACCCTCTCAAAGAAATGAATTATTGCAGCCAGAAGGAGGCATTAAAACAGCACCATGTACCTCAAAGTCACGCACAGTGCAACATACAGAAGCAAAAGCACTCAGGGTGTGTCACACAAAGAGCAGTCTCGAGTAATTTTGTACAAATCCAACCCTGTTCTTTAAATATTTGGTAGTAGCGTGTTAGTATTGAAAAATGACAGAAACACAGGGTTACATGAACAGTGTTAACTCACCAGGGAAGATAAACTGTTGTCTGAGTTGAAAGTAGCAGGCAGCTAATGATCAGGACAAGATGGAAAGAAAAAAGACCAAGCAAAGGGTGAGGAGAGAAAGAGCGGTCAGAGAAAGAGCGCTAGCTGTAGGTTATCACTGCCTCTGACATCTGCAACCAATGAATGGCACTGTTTTTACCCTTTGCTGTTGAAATACTGCTACTGCTTCATCAGCCTATTTTGGGTAGAATATTACTTAGATGATTGACTGTGGGGTAAGAAGTCTCCATATAAAGGTATCACTGTTGCATCAGCTATAGGATATTAGTTGGAGATGTCTTTGAATTTAGGTGGCTTTGTGACAACAAGAGAGTAGCATTAATGCAACACGGGAAGTTTTCTGAAGCATATTTATCCAATGAAACTGATACCTGCTATGTGCTTAGGCTACTTGACACAAAGCGCAAAGGTAAAAGAAGGCAAGCTGGAGACTACAAAAGCTGTAGATTTTCTGAATTAACTAGCTAGTAGCACTGCATATACAGGCAACATTAATGCTTAGATTTTTAACGGATATGTGCAAATCCACACCACATTCATACAATTGTGACATTGTGACGTCAAATGTATGAATATGTTTAGTTTGCTATCTCAGTGTGCGCTGAAAAAGTGTAAGCATGCAATTCTTAGAAAAGTAACTATAAAAATTTACATGCACTAAATAATGACCTTAATCCTGAAAATAAAAAACCTATCTAAAAGGCTGACGAAACAAAGGAAATTAGACACAAAAATGATTGTTAGGAGATCACTTCAAAAGCATATGAGATCACACTGAACACTACTTATACAGTCTGTTAATAAAGGAAATACATACAGTACTGTGCAGACCTAAGCAAATTGTTCAAAACTATTTACCTCGGTGTTAAGTTTGCATTTGCCAGTAAAAAACACTAGAAGACTAGAATAAATATAAACAGACGTAACAGTATACAGTAAAAAGTAACATGAAGTTTTTGTTTTTTGAAACAGTAGTTGAGATGTTGTGAGCTAGTTAGAACACAGGTTCGGTTCCGGACTTCACCTCGCCATCGAAGGGATTTGTTAATCTTTGCCACCAGCACACATGATTTAATTTAATGAGGGACTGATTAGCCAAACCAGATACTGGATGATAACTACAGTTAATATGGGGCCAGCAGGAGAGGTCCGGAAATGGTTAAACAAACACACTGACACACATAAAATCACCATTTATTGTACCAATATTACTTTTTATTTTAATATTAGTGTTTTTCTAAGCAAATACTAATCGCTGCCTAATAGTTTTGAACGTGATTTTAGACCCAAAACATTTGCACAGTACTGCATATCTAAACCTTTTGGGTAAGGCAAGCTCTTAGTGTGACTCAGCTAATATTACAGACCTGGAAAGTTAAAGCGGTTGTCCCGAGGCCATTTGGGAGAGGGGTTGGGGGGTGGAGTAGCACTGGCTGGGTTACTCTGGCTGAAAGCAGGTGAAGACGGTGTGGAGGAGGTGGTAGAAGAGGGGTTACTGCTGGAGTCCAGCTGACTCACAGATGGATTCTGGTCCTGAGAGGAAAAATAATGTGTGTGAGTATATATATATATTAGGGATGTAAAACATTTCTTTAACAACAATATTATTCAAAAAATACACTGAATTCATAAATGTGACTGGAGGAACTATTTACACAGTAGTTAAGTAAACACACTAAAAACAGCCTGAGAATTTTATTTTGGCCAAAAATGAACACACATTTTTGAATATTATAAAGATTTAATTATTTAAATTGGCACCTTTAGATAGATGCATACCAATGCATTAATGCATTTTTACCACCCTAATATCTAAAGAGGGTGATAACAGAATACGTTCCTCAGCTGGTACTTTTTTACTCAATTATCATTCTTTATTGACATAAATCCTAAGCCTTGTATATTAATGCATTATGTATTTCCAGGTTTTGTCACTCATACCTTTTTGTTTATTGGATTTGGTAATGTTTCAGATTTTGAAGACTTCTGCTTTTGGTCTATCCTATTATTGATGTCTGATGGAACTGACTCTGTTCTTCTGATTGGTGTAACTGTAAAGCAAAAAAGAGAAGCACTGAGCACTAAGAAATAAAACAGCAGTTGAGATTTGTCATGTATGTCAGATCACATTTTACCTGGAAAGGGTAGCTTGCAGTGAGGTGCCTCTTTGGTACACTTGTTGTGGCACTTTAACCTGAAGGTGAGAAAAGAGCCGTTAGCAGATTCTGTAAATGATAAGTAGGTGTGGTTATAATGCTGGGGTTTCCATGGTAACTTACTTGCAGTGTTTACACTTTACGCCGAACATCAAGTTCTTCTTACACACCTCACAAGTCTGAGACAGCCATGACTTGGTAGAAAATCTTTAAGGGGGGAAAAAGTGTGGAACTTCAGTCATTTTCCTGCAACCAATGTGCCAATGTACCAAAGAGGTTCAGGCTGTCTTACCTGTGTGAGAAAGTAAGGCCAAAATCTCTCCGTATGGTCTGTGGAGAACTTTTTTGGACTGCTAGAGAGGATCACAAAAGTAAAAGAGATCAAACAAGGCTGTGATGTATGATGTTGCTGTTGTAACAAAACTATATCTCCAAGTTGGTAACTTTTTATAATCTTAACTTTCATGTACATTAATGTCAGGAGATTTTATTCCAAGTAATTTTGGTTTCTTTTTATTGGTTCCTTCATGACTTAAATAACATGGAATGTTCACACATTTGATACTGATATGACATACTTTTGATATGACAGTGACAATGTATCAAAAAAACTGTTTTACTTGGGTTGCCATGTCACAGGTGCACCTACTTCTCAGTGTGGGGCTCTCCAGCAAGATGGGTGTGTTGGGTAGAGTGTGTGAAGACCAGGCAGAGAGCAGCGGTGAGCAGGAGGGCATGTCTTCATAGCCATTCCCTCCACCATTCACCTGCACGTTTAGAAGTGGCTTCTTCTTCCCATTCCTGAAGGGCAGACGAAAAACTGTGTTTCCCACAAATCCACCCGACATTGAACCACCCAATATTAAAGCATGGCTTACAGTTTCAACATAGTTTCAACTTTAGAAGCTCCGCCCACACATACCCAGAACATTTAGTATCTAAACTAAGCTGGCCATAACTATTGGGATTTTCTGATTGGCTACCTACACATTCATGTGAATGCATGTCCATGCAGTGGGTCTGATCATCCCAACAGGAAACACACCTTTTAAGCTGTCCGTTCTGTGATAAGCTTTTCAGAGCAGGATACAGTCAATGGACAGAAAAATGTTTGTGAAGTTCAAAAGGTCACATCTTTAAATGTTACACACAATCTTTCTTGGAAACTTTGTGTTGGCTGCTGCACACCGATTTATGTATGGTGGGTGTGTTTTTTCTTTTTTGAAAACTGCCCCTACACACCATACTAAAATAACAGCACGTATATGATTATTTTGTACGTCACTAAAAAATAGCCCCTTCCAGTAAGTTAAAGTAGACAGTTATTAGCCATGTTATGCGGCAAAGCTCACCACACTCTCTAGCAATAAGCAGAAGTCTAGCTTGCAAAACTACCTTCAAGACCTCAAATTGACAAATCATTAGCTACACTTTACCAAGGGTATTTGCTTTGATATAACTGATCCAACAAGACTAGCTTGAATGGCACATCTTTTAACCCTTTGAATCAATTATTCTGAGAATACAGTGAAAATACTATGTAACTTGTGTACACTGAGCTGCCAGTTTATTACATTCACCTATTGTTACTTACATTTATTGGCCATATTATCAGAAATACTTATCATATAGATTCACTTTGTAGGTAGGCAGTTACCCACTGTAGCCTTTCTGTTGCTGCACAATTTGTTAGCCATTTATCAACAGCCTACCAGCAAGAAACACCACACTAAAAACCCCAGCAAAGCAGCTGAACCTGAGACACTCGTACCAGCACAACACTAACATGCCACTACTATGTCAGTGACACTGCTGAACTGAGAATGCTCCACCAGTCAACAAATATTTGATCAGCAAATATTTGCAATGGTCCTATGGTGGTCACTTTCCACTGATGAATGAGGCAGAAGGTGGCTAACAAAATGTGCAGCAACAGATGGCATCTGGCAACAAAGTGCATCTATATGTTAGGTACTACTGATTAAATGAGCAATAAATGTGGGTACAAGTCAGATATACCTAACAGACTGGCAACTTGAGAGTGAAGAATGGAAGTTTGGACCTGCTGACAGCTCCTTAGAGTTTTGGGGGTTTAAACATCAAGGCTAAATGTTAGGGGGCAATTAGGTGACTCCTTTTCAAACTCTCTCTAAACAAGCTTCTTTTGATTATTCTTGATGGAGCAATGTGCACCGTGACTGAAAAGCACTCCTCTAGCCAGTACAATTTTGTGTTTTGAAACCACACGCCAAGTTGAAAAACCATCAACATTTGTTCTGAGTGCCCATGAAAGGCTCCATATGTCATCCACAGCTGACCAATCAAGTTTTTGAATACAATAAATTGTATTCTTGTTTTTTTATTTTTTATATTTTATGTTCTATGTTTCATTAGAGAGACATTATCTAAATTTTCTATGTGTTCTTATATATGTCAGTTCAAAATGTTTATCTGTCAACTAGGTCTTTGTGTTTACCACTTCAATCAAATGCAATACCACTCCCCCCACCCCCCAAAGAGGCATGTCCTACTTCTTTTTAAGCATGAGAAGCAGGGGTTGTTGCATTTAAAAAATATATCGTCTAGACTAGAAGGACAAGTTTGGGACTTTAGAAAGAGCTCGGGTCACTGGTAGTAAGACACTTCACTGTAAGAGTAGTGAGAGTCCTTCACTGAAGAAGCAGCTCTCTTCTTGATTATGTCATCTGGCACAGAGTGAGCACTGCTGCAATGACCCAATCCTAGACGCCACCAAGTCTGAGCTGACACAGTAAATACGGAAACTTGGGGTGGGGGTCCCATCACTCGACCAAAAAAACATGCCAATCATGCCCTCATATCACATCACACATGCATGAACATTCCACCTGAGTAAGTCTTTAGCCTGAAGGCTCTCTTGAGAGTTACATTCTAAATGCTTATTTTCCACTTACATTTGCACAGTATATTAAAAGATGATTGTGTATTTCTGCAGAAGTCAACATGACTGTGGTAGCTACATACTGACGGCAGGACATTTCAAAGGGAAATTACCTAAATTAATTATATAAAGGAAATTCGCTTGAGTTCCCCCTATTAGGCATATTTCATTTCCAGAGAAGGCTCCTCTGATCACTGACGCATTGCTAAACAGTAAACCCCCACTGCAGATCTGACAGCAGTAGTCATGAATTAAAACGGCATCCAATTTAAGAGCACATCAAGCACCTACACTACATTACCATCTCATTACAGCACCATCACCAACTCAGTAATGAGCTTCATAAACTTCATTAAAACAAGTAACATTGTCATCACTGTAAGCAAAAAAAGAAATTAAAGCACTTGTTCAGTGACAATCAGATTTACAGAATTTTCTCCTTACCACAATGGTCAGCAAAGATCATGTTTGGTGACCATACACATATTTGGGTAAGCGAAAAATTGTGCAAATTTGAATTTTTTTTTTTATTGTTACTTAAAAAGAGCACTAAGCTCAAAGGTTTCCCACACATAGAAGACATTCTAAACCAGTGGCCATCAGTCTACCTCAGATCTGCTTCCCCTCATAGTTTAGTCCCAACCCTCATCTAACATGCCAGTCTTCACCCCCTTTAGTATTCTGTATTGGCTAAAGTTGCAAAATACATAACATTCCTTGCCAAACTGGTATTTTAAATTTGTTCATGAAAAACCTGTTGCATATTTAAATACAGTGAAAGTAAGAGGCACTTGGCTATTAAGTACAGTGAGTCAAGTAGAATTAAGCTATGACATTTTATGTAGTTGTAGAAACAGACTTTGAATACAGTGTGAGTTCTTTACATCATTAAATCATCATGCAACGCTGACTGGCCAAAATCAAAATTTTTGATTGGCACTTGCGTGTTTGGAGCAAAAATCTGATCCGATCTTGAGCAATTCAGATCATGCATTCCTTGTGACCACTGCTATGAACCGAAAAACTTCTTAGAAAAGGTTCTAAACATGTACATGGTTAAATTCCCTAAAAACGCTGTGTATAATACGCTGGACCTACTTGTTGGGCGCAAGCTCGTCCACTCGGTTTGCCAGTTGTGTGTGGCTCTTGCTGCGGGGCAGGGCGAGTGTGGGCAGGAGCTGCCGCAGTCTGTTAGAGGGGGGCGGAGGGGTGCGTGGGGGCTTCAACACAGTGACCCTGTTGGTGGGCGGGGTCAAAGGAGGAGTCGACGCCAGGCCCAAAGGCCGCCGACCCATCTGGGGCGAGGGGTGAAATGGGTCAGCCAGTCCGTCACAGAAGTACAGGTTGGGATAATCCAGGGAGGGCACGGTGGACACAGAGATGGAGCGAGGAGCGCAGGAGCCTGAGGAGGTCAGAGGAGGTTCTACTATCCATGGAATTCTGTCATCTTTCAGCTCCCGCCCTACAACAGACACACCAGGTTTTTTGATTAACTAAGAGAAAACATAGAAGCTGTCCTGCCTTCCTCTTTGCATGTGTGTGCATTCTATCAGACAGAGAGAAAGAGGGAAAGGCGTATAATAGTCACTCAGGCACTTTTTTGCTGAAGCTGCTTGTAAATTTCCCTTAATCGTGGTAACGCACTGCCTCTCATGGCTTACTACTTTATTCTAAATTCTACTTATTACTCCTTAAATATAATTCAGCACACCACATGACGTTTACCCAGCAAATCTGTGCAGTTTCCTCATAAATCCATTGTGTCACTTTGAAGATTTAATAAACTATCCCCTCAAAGAAAGCAGCTTCTCAGTACTCTACCTGTTCCTGCAGCAGCGCAGGAGGAGTGGGACTGACTTGAGTCAGTGGCACTCTTTAGGCAGGAGAGGGCAGCAGTGATGCGGGAACACTCATCAGTACTGGAGCCCAGTTTCCTCATGGTCTCCTGCACCTGAGCACCTGACATCTGCAGCATCCCCTCTAGAGACAGCTTCACCGGTACTGCCTGAGAGAGAGAGAGAGAGAGAGAGAGAGAAGAGAAAGTGAGAGAGAGAGAGAGAGAGAAGAGAAAGTGAGAGAGAGAGAGAGATAAAGTGAGAGATAACGAACAGAGAAAAGATAAAATAAGAGAGACAGAGAGCAAAAGAGAAAGTGAGAGAAAGAGATAAAGAATAGAGAAAAGACAGAGAGAGAGAGAGAGAAAAGAGTGTGAGTGTGACAAACGACAGGGATGGAGAGAAAAGGAATAGAGGAAGAGAGAGAAGGAAGAGTATCGGGGGGGGGTAGCATGAGAGAGAGAAAAGAGAGATTTTTACATGCATAAAAATAAGTTTTAAATCTGTAGCTGTCAATAAAGCAGCTTCTTGTAGTCCATCATGTTTTCAACAGCCAGTCAAAACTCAGGAAGTGGAGGAATAAGAGGAGGATTATGTAACACCGTCTGTTTCCAGAGAACTAAATCATCAGGACAAGCAGTGACACTGCAGGGAAATTCAGAGAAGAGGAAGTGTTTAGATGAAACTCACTCATTCCCTTTTAGTAGCTCTGCAGTGTGTGTGCAGAAAGGTGAGAAGGAAGGATTTAGCCTTTTCTTCAGCCTGATCAGCCTGAGGCTCAGCAGAGCAGGTGAATAATACAGAATGACACACACTCTCACGTGGACATTCTCACACACATACATGCACACACACAGAGTCCTCTATGGCCATGTTTCTCAAACTGAGTCACAGGACCCCCTTATGGTCCATATTTATGATCTCAACTTTCATCAAAGAGATCGAAGAGCAAAACTAGACTGCCTGGGGGCCGTGAGGACCAGTTTGATCTAAGAAATTTCAAAAAAGACTCCAATCAAAAAGATTCCAGTTTGAGGGGCCAGTCTACACATAGAGGATAAAGGCTTTTTCTTTGAACTGATATAAAGAGTGAGGAGGTAAGTTTAAAAGAGGTGGCTGCTAAAACACAGTGATACTTTGTGACTGAAGATGGCGATTCAACTGCATCAAATTTACTACTTTTTAGTCTACTTACTGGACTAAAATAACATTACAAGACTAATATTAACAGCCAAATTAAATAAACAAATAAATTAACACATATTTACATACAACTCAACAGAATATGACACAGACTGTGATTTGGTTGGAGGTACACAATGAAGGCAAGGGTTTTTCCTCTTTTTTCAACCAAATACTGGCATGACTGGAGCTAACTGTTGCATATATTGTCTATATTCCATTACTGTGTAAATAGGTTTTCTAATCACATTAGTGTATTCAGTATATCTTTAAAAATAACTCCAAACTGCACCAAAATAACAATCAAATTGATGGTTTGACACAAAGAAACACTGAGTATGATACATTACAATGTAACTGGCCTTTTGCAAAGCTATGACTTACACACTTCTCAGTTACTCACAGCCAAGCGAAAGAAAAACTTCAACAAAACTCCTCAAAACAAATACGCAGCGAGAACAGTTGTGGCAGTAAATTAGTCAGAATGATTAGTCTAGGAAATGGTGAGGTGGTGTTACTGAGGAATGCCTCTAACACATAAGTCTTGTTAATACGGAGGATGGTGTTGTTTTTATTTTACTCTCAAAGATGAAAAGGTTTTAGATTAAACTATGTGGAAGACCAAACTCACAGTGAGCTAAACTTTATCTGGGTTTCTGCATTTGATTAAAAGCATTTTAATATGATTACAAATTATGAATAACAATACAAAAAAATGTTACAAATAGATGACCAGCTAGCTCTTCATGGCTTAAAAGACGTGTAACGGACGACAGGACCTCCTCGGCATCTACAAAGTGTTAGCTTTAGCATTAGCTCACTTGAAGGACAGCTTCCACCACTAAAACCTTGTCCTTATGTAACATAAAACCTACCGCTTTAACATTGAGTGGCTAAAAGATTTCCCTGGTTTGATACGTGTAAATATAGTTTCCAGAATCTTTCGTTGGCTTTAAATTGGCCTACATGCACATTTTATCAGTTTTCAGACATGCACGTATTCACTGAACATCTAGTAAAGCCAGTTTATTTTTGAATGAAAACGCACTCCTCTGTGTGCTTCTCAATTTTCCTTTGTACTACTGAACTTTTTAGTTTGTTAGCACAAGTGCTCTAGATACCACCAAGCAGCTTGTACTGATAAATTTCATGCACGCAGCAACAGCAACTAAGGGAGCTGAAACTTTCTATGAATTTTGTCAACTGATTTAAATTGTTGTGAGGTCACACATTTACAGCCCTATCGTCACCATTCCTTCAGTCCCTTAGTGTCCACTCAGCCTATTCCAGTTAACTCTCTGTCTCTCTGTCCACTCCTCCACCCAAACCACGTTCCTGTGCCCTCTCGCGTCTCCGTGGCATCAGCTCATCATCAAACACACACGCGAAGACCACACTCATGAGCACATGAACTAGGCCGAGTCGCTGCCCGGCAAAAGTCTGGCTGTGGTCACTTTGGTCTTGGTGATAAGACAGAAGACGCCTTTAGTGAGCTGTTGGTATTCATCAGTTGGGTTCTTTAAATCCTAATGTTTTTAAACTAAACTGCGCTGAAATGCACCAATGTCTCACTGCGCTGAAATGCACCAATGTCTGACCGCGCTGAAATGCACCAATGTCTCACTGCGCTGAAATGCACCAATGTCTGACCGCGCTGAAATGCACCAATGTCTCACTGCGCTGAAATGCACCAATGTCTCACTGCGCTGAAATGCACCAATGTCTGACTGCTCTGAAATGCCCCAATGTCTGACTGCGCTGAAATGCACCAATGTCTGACTGCTCTGAAATGCCCCAATGTCTGACTGCGCTGAAATGCACCAATGTCTGACTACTCTGAAATGCACCAATGTCTGACTGCGCTGAAATGCCCCAATGTCTGCCTGCGCTGAAATGCACCAATGTCTGACTGCTCTGAAATGCACCAATGTCTGCCTGCGCTGAAATGCACCAATGTCTGCCTGCGCTGAAATGCACCAATGTCTGCCTGCGCTGAAATACACCAATGTCTCACTGCACTGAAATGCACCTGTCTGTCTGCCAAAAATCTAATTTTCAGAACAATTCTGTGAGTAGAGGTCACTATTGTTTGTATTAGTGATTGAGAAATCTACCGATTATTTCAGTAAATCAAAACAATACACAACTTTCAAACACAGTTTACTGGAAAGACTGTTAAAATATTAAAACGTGAAAAATATAAAATGACTTTAAGGCAAAAAACAAATAGAAAAATACATCTACATGATTCCCCATGCTCTGCAAAAAACAACCAAGAGGAACAAAAATGACAGCATGAGGTTTTAAATAGCACCTCTACCAGCTCTACCATGTTTTTCTCCTGTCACTTCAAGATAAGCATGAGTAGCATGTCAAAGAACCCAGAGATCTTGCCATCTCTGAGATATACACAGGAGAATTGTACATGAGCATTATCTGCCCCTTTCAGGGCAATTTTGGGGATTTATTAACAGAAAAAACTAAAACTAAAAACCTTGGTTACCAAATGTCCTGGCTGAGCGAGTACTTCAGGAGAAAACTGCATTAATTCAACTGTTTGCTGAGCCATTCTTTTAGGGAAATATACTATACATTTTATCGTACTTGCTGTCACACTCTCAGGTAATTACACACAAACGTAGTGGTTAAGTATTGCAGTGTTTGATGAACTCCCTTTAGCTATTCAGTGGAAATGGAGCAAAACAGTCAGACCAGTTCACCACCGGAGTGTGAAGCTTTTTAACTGACTGTGACTATGACGGAATGTAACCACCAGTGTATATCGCACATAATCTCATCTTGATGTGAAGTCTGTGAAGATCACGTCTGTATACTATTCGTATAATGACATGAAGATCTAACCTATACCACACTGTCCTTATCTTAGTCTATAGTCTACATCCCGTGTGTCAAACACAAGGCCCGTGGGCCAGATCAGGCCCGCCACACAATCCTATCCAGCCCGCAAAAGTATTTTAATTTTCTATTAATATTAGCCCGTTTCACAATGTGCTGCACTGCAGTCCCTAGCATGTACTGCATCATAACGTGCTCTAACTCTCCCACCCGAACAACAATCTAAGGGACAGCAGTTACACCACAATTCTGCATAATTCCACACCAGTCATATATGCATTTCAGTTTAACCGATATAAAGTCCTAATGTTAGCTCAGCAGCTTGGAAACTGAGCCCAAGTCTTAATGAATTTGCAGCAAAGAAAAGATGCCAGGCATTTAGTTCAAGCAAATAGGTAGGTTTAAAAGACCAAGCACCTAGGAACATTTAAATTTTTAATATTTTAAGTGTCCATTTAATATTTCAAGGTGTACTACAAGTGTCTGTATTTTACTGTTGAAGTTTTTGCATATTTTGAATAAACAATGGCCAATTCACGTTATAGCACAACATTATTGAAAAATGAAATAAAAACATATTTTTTCCCTCTGGCCCCCAGATTTGATGAGATTTTTTTAATATGGCCCTTTTACTGGTTGAGTTTGACACCCCTGGTCTATACCATACTATTCTCACCAGGGGTCGGCAACCCAAATGTTAAGAAGAGCCATTTTGTACTTACAACAAAAATCAATCTGCCTTGGGAGCCACAACACTACGTCCATTTATTTAAGTAACGTTCTACCATCTTGGCTGTAAGTATGTCTCAGTATGTGCTAATGTCCTAGTGCAGACTAAAAAATATAATACAAACAAAAACACAGACTAACTTTGCTCTGCTTTAAGCTTTAGTTTAGTTATAGCTGCTTTTCTTGCATGTCCAGCAGGACATAGAAGTAGAACAGTTTTTTGTAAAATGTCTCTCAACGTGCGACTTTTTACGAGGCTGAAATCAGCTTCTCATTCTCCAGCATCGAGTTCGAATTTTCCCGTTCCACCTTAAATGGTCCCTGAGGCACCAGAATGTAAGTGCTGCACCATTTAAGGCAGAAAATTCAAATGAGAAGCTGACTACAGCTTCGTGACTTTTTA